AGCGTCCATGGCCAAGGGGCCGGTTGATGGAAGGGGGAAACAAAATAAAGATGGTGGCGCTCATACTGAGTGTGATAGTTTGAATCGGGGAAGTGGTATGCCACCACGGTCGCAGTGCCATGTATCCGTAGCGCAACAAGCTTTCAGCTTTTCCCCTCTCGGGGTCCTCTTTGTTCCTTTGCCTCACTCTTTACTCTTCTGCTCTCCTCGCTACAACTTCATCCGTGCTGTCGCAAACATCGTCTCTTCGTCGATGCTTCCTCATTGACGCGCTCAGACTACGCACGACACGTCTTCTCGTCTTCGAAACACAGTCGCCATGAGATCTTCCGCTGTAGTCGTCGCGCTTGCCGGCTTTGCCGCCGCGCAGCAGAACGCGCTACCCACGTGCGCTGTAGGTTCCCCCTGGTCCTACTGATTTCTCTCGTTTGCTAGAGTGCCAAAGATGCTCATAGTCGCCTGTAAGTCGTGTGCTAACGGCCGGATTGCGAATGAATAGCAAGGCTGCGTGAATCAATACACTACTGGCAGTGGCATTGCTGGCTGCAGTCAGATCGACGTCAAATGCATCTGCTCCAACTCTGGCTTCCTCGACGGCATCGCATGCTGTCTCGCCGGTGCCTGTCCTCAAGCCGACCAGGACACCGCCGTCAAGTACGCAAAAGACATCTGCACCGGAGCAGGCGTCACCGTCCCCGATCAAGTCGTCTGTAAGAGCGCCAACTCGACATCATCAGCCACTGCCTCGCAAACGACCGCCTCTGCGACCGGAGCTACGGCGTCCGCCTCTGCTACCAGCACACCGAATGCTGCGCCTACAATGGGTCCGGTTGCGTTTCTTGGAGGTCTCATTGCCGCCCTGGTCGCATTGTGAACTTGGATTGGAGCCGGGTTGGCGGTTGTAGGATAGTGGTTGGGAAGTCCGTACGAAACGGTGGACGGGCTCGGCTGCGCATGCTGCTCTCTCTCTGGTAGCTTCTGGAGCGGACTCGAATGATACGGTGTTGTAATTTTCGCGTCAGCTGAATAGTTGTAAACATTTTATTTCAACTTCGCAAATATCAACCTCGCGTTGAACATGTGTTAGGGTGAGATGACGGCGAGAAACATGCGTCGCCATCGCAGTAGAGCAGAAATCACGGGACGATGACGCTGGGATGACGGACCGTCATTCGTTATATCAGATGCTGGTTGTCTGACATCTGAATGGCTCAATCGAGCCGAAACATTTTCCGGCCGCGCATGTGGCTAAAGGGAGCTCATTAGCATCAAGTGTTGAGAGTCAAGACCCCTAGACCCTGTACTGGACGACAAATATCTGCCGAACGGCCAGCGAGGATGACGTGAGGAACGTCTGTGAGCCTCAAACCGTCCGTTCACCGAGCTTGTTCTGTGCACTCGTTCTCAAGCTGCATGATTTGCTCCAAGGTTATTTTGGGTTCTCGATGAACCTTCTTCCAGGGATCTCGAATGTGTCCAAAACACCCTCGGGCCCCTCAAGTAAAATAGTCATAGAGGGGAAGCAAGCGGTGAGCGTGTTTTGGTATGATCGCCTCCAACCCAACTTGACTACGGAGTACAAGGTTGCTTCAAGACGACATCAGGTGACTAGGCTCAAGGGTTGAACACATCATGATTCGCTACCAACTTCGCGATTGAGCAGATGCACAGAGTTACTGCCGGTGGTGACTCGGGACTAGGCTTACAATTAAGTTGCTGCCGGCCGTCACAGATGAGCGGACAAGTCCCCATTTGAAGTTGTCTCCGAATGTTGAAAGTTCTGCCAGAAACGCGGCAACAGAGAAAGCTTGAGAAAATAGCCGCGTCTTTCAGCATGATGCTCTCAGTGACCGGGAGACCCCGTCGACGGAGATGAGGCAGTCGTCTTTGCCGTCTCCGCCGTTCATGAGATGGGATGTTGCGATGGAACGGTAGCAGCCATTACGGTGAAAGTAGATCGGGCTGTCTCCAGTTTTTCCGCGCCGTGTACAAATATATCAATACGAAGGTCGTTGGGAGGGGAAACGTGCTTCTTCCGTGACCATGTCCGGACGTCGTCCCGACTGAGCGATACCTTATCTAGACCAAGATATACTATCTTATCTTATCCAGTGCGAGTTGCAGATCCATGGCAGAGAGGCTCTTGGTACAGGGTCGTCGGGAGACAAGTCCAATCAGTGCTGACAGCAACAAGACGAGACCGAGATTGTTTTCCGGCATGGGGGCCGGGTGGGGATATTCTTCGGTCCGTCGTTGCCACAAACACTGTCGTGCATACGTCTCCGCTACGTGAAGGGTGCCTTCGGACCCCGGGCCTTGACAATGGTAACCTCGCGGTGATGGGATTTCGAATTTTCCAGGATGTTGTCGGCCGCCGACGATAAATGGCAGGCATGAGCAGAGGCTACACCGTCAAAGACTCGGCCCGCGGAGCTTGCATCCCCACAGAGGCACCGACAAAGCAAGGAAGCCTTCCACCCAGCCGAAGAGCAGGCGATGCTCGACAGACATGAGCCGCGCTGACACGCAACCACTGCCGTCTGCAATCTGTGGGTCTAGTTCATCGACCTTGTGAGCCGGTTGGAGCTACGCGCGTTGGTGTGAAAACGTCAAAAATCGCCAGATATCTCAATCTGGTATAGGGAGATGCCATGGGGGGGCGTGAGGCCGGAAGTCAAAGTACGTGCGGTCTGGTGTGAGATTGGTAGCATGCCCAAGGTGAATGGTACTACCTGGACTTTGGTGTCGTGCCGTGGTACGTTATCAATTTCACAACAGTGCGTCGATAACCCACTTCTGCCTCTCATCTGCAACTTTGTTACCGACATCGACTCGAGCCTTCGTATTCCGGATATCCAGGCTATGCCTATGTATGTAGAGACTCTGCGGAATGGAGACGCACCCCTCCTCTCTCGCTTCTCCTCCATAAGGCGAGCATGGCTTCGAGGTCGAGCGGTCTCTGCAAGACTCTCCACTTGCTGTCAGGCTTTTTTTGGGTTAACCCCGGCGCAAGCATCCCTCATAATACCCCTTCTAGTCGATAGTTGCGAGCATGGGACAAGGAGACTTTGCCCGTCGGGTACCTGTCAGAAAGGACTTGGAACCACCATGATTCGCCCAAATTCCGATTGATGCGATCATCCAGCTTTGGCAGCCGCCGTGCAGGGAGCTGACAAGGGCAAGGGACAGGGAGATCAGATGAGGAATTTGGGGTTGTGGTGTGGGGAGTAGGCCGGATGGCGCTTTGATCATTTCGAAGTCTGGTGTGAAACCTGAGGGTGGGTATGTCGACGAACGCTTTGACGGTGACTCCTGGCTCTCCGGCAGGGGAGAGCAGCAGCTCAAGAGCTGCAACGAAACATGAGTGTGAAGAAGGTCAATGGTTGCCAAGGAAGCCAGAGTGCAACGAGCGACGCCCGCACTCAACGGGGAAGATCGAGGCGATGGCGAGGTGCAAGTATTACTGGTTTTCTTTCAGGTGCTGGATATCATGGTGCGCGTTCTTGGAAAGAAGATGGAGGGGCTTGCTTAGTCACTGTTTGCAGGGCGCTCCCCCATTGGTGGGTGCAAGATCGTCGAACGTATTCCGTCGTCCCCGAGGACCCATCTATGTATCTTGGGTTGGTGGCTCTTCTCGAGTGGGAATTGTGGCTGCTAACCGGAAGCAAGCTCGATGAAGAACATGTCCATTGACTGGGAAAACAACGGCTTCGCCGCTTCGCCGTACGTTCCGATTGCTAGTGTACTGTCAAGCTCCTGACCCGTCAGCCTTCCCTGCTTCACGTTACGTTGGGCAACAGACAAGGATCCATGGCCTCGAAAGACTGACCTTCGGGTAGCCCTGAATTTCGGTAGGACGCCTTGTATAAAACGCTGTTGCACATCAGGCACGGGATCTGCTGGCCTGCCCCAAGGTCGAGCTCGGAGCTGGGCAGGACGGGCGTTCAGTGTTTCTGCGAGAAACCAGTCGGAAGGTCGGAACTTTTCTGCTTCCCTGCTGCGTCATTGTTTGTCTTGGACGCCTTCGATGCTTCTCTATTAGCTATCCGTACGGATACTCTCTATCTCTCCTTTGTATCCGTACCGGTCCTAACCACGCCCCCTGTCCAGCCGAGTGTAAATCGATCACATAATGCGTAGAGAGCTGTTGCCGGTTTGGCCCGCTTCGCAATTGCTAGTGGGATAACAATGTATTGTTCCACCAAAGTCGGCATATTCCAAGACCATCGCTGTCATGGGGTGAGACATGCTCGAGCTCGTGGGCTAGTAGCCACAGCGTCCTAGGAGGTACGAATGCTCTGTACATTACGAGGTGTGGCTACCCGAGGAGAGGAAAAGATGCAGGGTCATCATCTGTCAAATCCCATACGCCCCTCCCTTGGACGATGATTCTGCACGCCTGGATCTGGAACCAGACTTTTTAAGATTTTGGCAGGCCAGCCCGAAGCTCGGCAATCCGTATGCGGCTGGCGTCCGTCTCTCTGGTACGACGTGACCTGTTGCAATTGTCCCCACGCAAGCCAGCAACCGTCCCATAAAGCTGGTGTTGTCTGTGTGCGGTCGGATAGGCACTAAAAAAATGGACGAGGGCCTTGCATTTGCGTGGATGCCACAATAGCAAGCAATGCCCCGGGTCAATCATTGAGTTGATGGCGCGTCCTGCCGCTTTGTGCCCTTCTCCATCGTCGCTTTGTGCCCCTCTTGGGAATGTCTAGTGATTTCCGTTCTTCTACCCGTACGGAGTACACCTGCTCATCTCCGATCTGTCCCAGATGAGATCGGCTTGCATCATGAACAGCATACCCTGGCAGAAGTTGTTCACTGACGTTGACCGCATCAAATCGAAGGGAACATACATTGTCCTCCCAGACACCACCCAGAATAGGGAGGTTAAGTCGAGATGTCAAAAGAACTTCGGAGCTCTACCAGTGCGGTCCATGAGGTTATTGGATGCGGATTCGAATTTCAACCCTCGACAGAGGCTCTCTCGTTTTGTGTCGTCATAGCGTTACCGGCGTCAGGGGCGTTGAGGACGATTGGACTCGTTCAGTTGGTACGGTGCACGCCAACTCTTCCGTAGGCGACCGGAGTGACATTTCCAAAAGAACGCCTGAGGGGCAGGCTTCCGTGGAGTGGGGGTCTAGCAAGCCACTGATCACTGATCCGATCATCCACGAGCACAGTCCCAATGTCTCAGACATGTTGTAACTTGTATCCCTAAGGATTGTCAGGTATGCTCATCTGTCAAGCTCTCAAGCGATATCAGAGTCAGACAGTCAGCCCAGGTGGGTGGCTGAAGGATGTTGAGTTCTTTCGACCTTGACGCCTTGTCGTGGCGCCCAGTAGTAGGAACCGCGGCTCCGCCCTCCGGCTTCCGTTGACAACGCACTCCACTTTCCGCGAGACCTTTAATCTGCATCTGCGTTCTATTCATACCGAGTAGAGGACTAACGTTGGCATGTTGGCTGACCTGCCAGATTATTTGTCTGAGGTCCAGTGCCCATGTATTCGTGTCCCGAGCCGCATGGTGTGCATGTTGACGAGGTGGACCTCACAGGGCAAGCCGGGGTCAGCTTCCGAGTACCGTTCCATCAGGCACCGCTGTAAATAGACGTTTGGTAATGCGATTGTCAACACAGAAGTGGCCTTAACAGACAGAGATATAGTGCAGGCAAGGGCGTCAAATGAGTTGATGTGGGCCACTGGAATACTGGGTGCGCCAGAAACCATGGCATGGGTCGATCTTGGTTCAGTGGTTGCAAAGTGTCGATAGCACAATCCAATAATTGGCATGTTATTGCATTGGGGATTGCGGCCGAGGGCCAGATATTGGCGTGAGCTTTCGAGCATCTCTGTCGCAGACGGACGGTCCCTGCGGGGTGTCACATCGTACACACGGCGATTGAGACGACAAAGACTGCCCGCTTTCGACTCTACTGATCGTTTTGCCAGCTCGTACTTTCTGTTCAGGACGCTCCAAAGGGGATAGCCGGTGTCACGATCTTGCTTTCGTCCACATTTGGCATCGGATCCCCATTGCGGTCTCCATGGCATTTGGTCTCGGGCTATTGACCTAGCACATGAAGCCTGGATGGTGTTGCACTCAACCGTGTCCGGACCTGGCTCCGGTGTGCTGTACAAAGGGAATGTCCGATGGACAGGTAGGGTGTCTTGATGCTAGTAGCACCAGCTATAACGCCGTGGCAATGACTATCCTTTCACAGCGGCTCCAATATCATCGATACCAGTGCGAGAATGGCTGCGTTGGGTGTTTGACCTTCTTGGCCAACATCGTCTGGGGACTAATAAACATTATGGAATGCCGACAGGTACGTCGTCCCAGGGAATTCTACCTTGCAACTTGGTTGTAGAAGACCGCTGGATTTCTCAAAGGGCCCGCGCCAAAGGTGCATGTTGGGCTGGTGTTACCAGAGAGGCCTTGTTAGAGCAGAGCTACTGATGAGATCGAGTCGCCCATGCTCTGGCTGATTTCCGTCTTCAAGGCATCTCAGCTATGGCACAGCCAATGCAAACAGCCCAGGCGAGCAGGGCCTGGTCGTAACAGAGCAAAGCAGAAGTGTGAAAGATTGAGCAACGTTATGGGGCCCGAGGTCCAATCTCCTGCAATGAATGCAGTGTAACCGTGTATGCCCGGGATCGCACTGGGCGAATGGTGGTCAGTAGCAGTCTGAGCCTCCGGAAAAGCCACCTCTGGGAGAAAGCGACGTCGATTGGAGGCAGCAAGTAGCCACCTATCTGTCAATACTATCTGGTGGTACGGGTGGCGTGTCCGTGACAGGGAAGATTGAATGCCACCCTCTTAGTACCAAAAGGAAAGCAGATGTGTGTGACGATGGAATGCGAGGTGCCGTAACAGGTTGACTTGGTTCGTAGACAAGAACCAGAACAAGGCCAATGACAAAAAGTGTGAGTGGGTGCTGGCAGGTGGGCTGGTGGTGCTTTGACCGCGAAACGACGAAAAGAGCCGACGTGGATTCGGGCCTGCTGCGACTGACTCTATCCGTGAAGGTGACGGGACGGAAGAGGGTAAACAACGAGTAAGCCAGCACCAAAGGCGTCAGTCAGAAGAGGGCCGGCGACGGGGGACGGGAGACGGGGTCCGGGGGCGTCGGTATACCGTCTTGGTGTGGGCGTCTCTCAATCGAGATGTTGATGTGTGGAGAGGCCGGGCGTTGCGCGGAACATGTTGGGCATAAAGAAGGGAAGTGAGTCTGTATGCCAGGGGCACGGCTACAGTCTTTTCCCCTAAATTATTCATACATCGGTGAAGCAAAGCGTGAATTGGCTGGTGTTTCTTTCTTACGGCAATCGGAGCCTGATACGATTCGAGCGCTTTCAGCCCAGTGAGATGCTAGTTCTCGCTCGGCGTGATAATAAGGCGGAGGAGGAGAAGGAAAGCGATCTAAGGACAAGACAAACTCTGATGAGGGGTTCTGGAAACCAGGGGGGAAGAAGAAAGAGGTGGTGTGTATGAGCGTGTTTGCTGTGGCCTCTTGTGCTTCGGATTGAGGTTGAGTAGAGTATCGAGTCTTGAGTCGAGCGTCATGTCGTGTCGGCACATGGATTCATCATTCATGGGGAGCAACACTGCAACAGGCACGGGGCCAATCTAAAGGGAAGGTGCCCTGCATGGGTCTGCTCCTTCTGGATGGACCATTACCTTGACCAGGGCCCTGTATCACGAAGTACGTACTCCGTACCTAGCTTACACCTTACACCTTGGCCTTGACCTTGGCTTGACTGGGTGATTGGGTACAAACCACGAGGGCCAAGTACCAGAGAAAGAGCAGTGGGCGCTGTCTTACCTCATCTGTGTGCCATCTATGTGTGCAGTGCTTTCCGCGTGGTCCTTTACCGAGGGCAGTCGCGCCTTCTCATGCGCCTGCACCTCGGACTGGGTTCAGATCGCAGGCTGGGGGACACAACGCGGCAACTGCCCATGGCTGAGAGATTCCTTGGTGCGAATTCATGCCTTGGTTGAGCATCAAGCCCAAACGGAGCCAACAGCAATGATGGCCATTGCAGCATTGTAACATCGAAAAAAGAAGGTAAGGGCGGGGCAATATGTTTCCGTTTCTTTGCTTTTCAACTTCATGTTTTCTCCCCATGGACCTCATTGACTCGACGTATTAACCCCTCAAGAGCTCTTCATCCCCGGGGGGCAGCAGCCAAGAAATGCACCCATGTCTGGAGGGTTGCTTGAGGGAGAAACGTCGGGACTCAAGCATGGAGCTCGTAGCACTGCACTGCCATTGTACCATTACCATACAGCTCAACAATGGAACTTACAAGCACGTCCCCCAACAGCTGTGGCAGCTGGAAGTCACCGCTTCAGTCTCACAGATGATATTTCGGCGTGAAATACCTGGCCATACCTTGTATCTGATGGCTGACCCTGGCGTGAGAGCCTGTCACATATAGGAATACACCTACAGATACATCCCCTTCCTTACCTTACCTACCTTACTAGGCAGATCACACATTAAGAGCTTATAGCTTGCCATCACTGATCAGTACCAAGATTTTCTGCATATAATGTCTGGGGCGTCCAGTGAGAGACATGCGGGCACGGGGCTGAAGAAGGGAAAAGAGCAAGGGGGTGGAGAAGAAGAAAGCGGATGAAGATGGAGATGAAGAAGAAGAAGATGATGATGATGATGATGATGGGTGATCCTCCTGAAGGTCCAAGGCCTACAGGTACTCTCCAAACACAAGGCGAGGAGGGAAAACTGCCTGCATAGTTTGGGACGGGAAAAGGAAAGCATGGTGAGGAGGTACCTTTTGCGCCCACCTTCTTCTTTCCTCGTTCCTCCCATGCCAACAATTAGTAATTTGTCGGCAATCAGGTAATGTACCTTACCTACGGTACCTACCTTACCTTACCTTACTGTCTGAGTGCCTTCTGATGATGATAATAATTCAGTCACCTATGATGCCCAGAGAAAGCACCTGAGCTAAGGAAGTACCTCAAGGAATCTAAGGTCGGCATGGAAGACAGGCACGATCCGGAATGCCTTCCCTTCCTTCACCGGGCTTACCTTCCCGTCTTCTCGACGAGCCTGCTGCCCGGTCTGCACCTTCCCGGTGTTCCTCCCCCCTCCAACTGCACCTGCCCACCTGCCTCCCGCACCCGCACCCAAGGTAAGGTAAGGTCGCACCTGCACATTGCACATCCCGTCGACTCCACACCCACCTCCAGCTCCTTCCTATCGACATCCGTTCTGCAGTTTCTGCAGTGTGCAGCTACCTCGCGCTACTGCTGCAGAGCACGGCCTTGCCACTGACAATTTTCTCTCCTTTTTCTGCATCTTCATCATCGTCTTCCCTCCCAAATCGTGCCAATTTACGGATACCTTACCTTACCTTCTCAAGGTAGGGATGCATACGGAGCACACTTTCATGAATCCTTGAGATTGAGATGCTCAGAGCAGCTGGCCCATGCCCGCGTCTGCCCAGTCACGCCACTGCCCACATCCATTCATATCGAATCTTGCTTCCTAGTATACGGAGTACTGCATTTCAATTCGTCTGTCCGCTGCATATCCTACCAACAGGGGCCTGACGCCGCACGCCCGCCATCTCTTCATCCCTCCTTCATATCATGAGCTGATCCAGGCTTCAGATTCTTGTCTCCTCTTGACTCTGGCCCTGTCTCCGGTCTCTTCCCGAATCGCTTCACTCAGCCGACTACCACCACCATCCCACCCATTCTCCAAGGTGTACGGATAGACTCAGGTCGTCTGTCACTCACCTCTCTCGGCACGGCTTCTTTTTCGTCTTCGCTTCGCTTCATCATGCTGGTCTCGGCCGTGCTAGGCCTGACATAACACCCCCAAGACGTTGCACTTCGGATCAACTCAAAAGACGTTTCGCTCCAAAACGGGCATGCCCGAGACGCTTTACCGTTCCTTTGCCGATATGTTGACGATACCCTGGGTCCCATCTTCAGCTCTAGACATCGGAAGCCGACTGCCACCCTATGCTCCCACCTTGGGCCACTGCTGCCGCCGCCATTCGGCGCCGGCCATGGCAATAGCGGCGCCCATCATGTCGTCTAGGTGTCGTCTACTATAGTAGAGTTTGGACACCGCTTCCATAAGCCACAAAGGAAGGGTGTTACTATAGACGTACCAGCCAACTCTGTGTCGTACGCCGACTTCGCCGACGTTGTTCTCTAATCTCGTCTCGCCTACTCTCTGCCGCAACTGCACAACCCGCTAATATCGACCATCTCAACATTTGCGTGCCTTGAAGCAAATCATCCACACCCCTTGTACGGTACTTCGACTGGCTGGACTCGATATTAGATCCTCAGCAACTCTCTGCTATTGATCTTGCAACAACCACGCCTGCACCCGCGCCATCAATGTCACGCCCTACTTTCTTGCGTCCCTCCACGTTCCCCAACGGCCCCCCACGGCAATTACCCTTCCGCCTTCAGGCCAATTCGTCCATGCTTTCGGGACCGAATTTGTCACGATTCTTCAGTGATGCTGAAAGACACCTACGGGCAGCCAAATGCCGCGTCTCAATATCTCTCCAAATACATTGCATACATACGTCGGTCATCACATTCGCTACTCGCTTCAAAGCGCTTCGAATCATCATCGCCGAGCCAACGTCACTTATAGCCTGTACTTGTTCAGTAGGTATTCTCTTTTCTGTCACTTACCTTTTGCGCCGAAAAGCAAATTGGGGCTGGCCTTCGGAGTAGTGGTGAGTGGATGGATGACTCTGAGCCGCAGAGGTGTTCCGAGGTGGAGGCGGAGACACAGCTCACCCTTCGCTCGCTAACCCAGCCCTCGGTGCCTGTGTCTCGGTCTGTTGGGACAAAGACATCCCGCCCTGACACCTCCCGCGAAGAGAGACCAGCTTGGTCAGGTCGGTGCGTTTTACAGGGATTCATGCAATGGGACTACAGACAATACGTGCTTCCAGTACTACAGAGGACCTTGGCCGTCGAGCGACGGCTTCTCCGTCTTTTGGAGCCAAGTGCTTGTGGTGGTCTTTGTGCTGCTACGCATTGTATCCTC